GGAACAAACATATAATGATGGGCAAGTTCTCCATATTTTCTAGACTTTTGGGACTCCCTGAAGCTGGCAGCTGCCCCTCCTTCCTCCCTGGTGTATTGGATATAGGTATCAGCCAAGGTAGATGCACATGTTATCCAACCAACCCGCTTCCCATTGTCCAGGTTTTAAGGGGAAATTTGGGAACTTTTGATAATGTTATTAACCTCTTCATGTCTTGAAATCTTTCCCTCGGATTAACGGCACACAGCCAGGACCGGAATCAGTCGCTGCTTCACTGCCACAAAAAACACCTGTGTTGGGCGAGAATTGGGGCGGCAAGTCAAAGGGGCAACACCGTGAGGATGGCTGGGGGGCCCAGGCTTGCCAAGGCTGGGTTTGGGAACACCCAAAACAATAGTCCCCTGCATGAGGGACTCTCACTGCCAGGAGGCTGGCTCTATCCTTCCCTGACACACTTTGAAGCATTGTTGAGGCTATATATTCCACTATTGGACCATGTCAGTGCGATTGTTTGTAGATGTTGGGGGGAGCAGGTCTGGTTTCAGAGCCCGTTAGATTATCCCAGATCATTGCTCTGTCAATGAACTTTTGGTCTTGGACTCCAATCTTGTCCCTAAGAAGTTCAGGAAGAATCGCTGCTACAAGCTCTCTGGATGCAATGCATGAGGACAGAAAAGCAGGTAGTGCAATCTGTGATGACTTGCGGACACCGATGCCTCCGAGTCTGACTGGAAGTGTAGCTTGGTTCCACTGCTCATCTTCTAGTGTAAGGTGCAGTACAGGGTTATCATATGAAGGTGCACATCTTAAAAAATATGTCAACCTGGGCAGACTCAAGCACTTTGTGAGAAGGTACAAGGCATCATGGATGTCTAGATTGCCTATTCGTTGTTCCATTCTCCTTAACTCTTCCAATTACTTCCTGAGAATTGTGTCAATGGCATTGCTTCCCAGAGGTGCTTCTAGCAAGACGCTGTTTGTGGGGGCAATGACTGCTGCTTCTGGTAGTTTTGATCTCACTGCATTTATCACCTGTTGACTGACTGAGATGATTTTACTTTTGGATGGATTCAGGACGAGGCCCATTTCCTGTCCCCGTGTCATTACCTGTGTAAGATCATGTATAAGGGACTCCTTTGTACCTGCTAGTGTGCCATCATCTAGGAACAAGATGTTTAGCTCGCTGGTCAGTCTGACTGTGATTTCCTTAACTGCTATACAGAAGAGAAATGGTGCAAGAGAATCTCCTTGTTGGACACCCTCCGATGATGTGATTTCATGCTCTCCAAAGAGAAGCATTGATTCCTTGCTATACCCAGCTGAAACAAAAGGGAAAAGACCAGGGAAATGTTCTTGTACTGCTGCTAATACCACGTCTCTTTTCAGGAGATTGAATGCATTCTTGAAATCTAATTTACCACTGCATTGTCCTCAGGCAGGTTTTTTGTTCTATATATATATATACATATATATATATATATATATATATATATATATATATAATATATATAAATATATATATATATATAAATATATATATATATATATAAAATATATATATATATATGTCGTGCCGAATAGCAGAACTTGCTATCTTGACTTAAATAGCAACGCTCATCTTGCCATGTAAGACAAGTGAAAATTTGTGTATGCAATAATTTCGCCAAAATCATTCTCAACCTACCGAGAAAAATATATTTCACTGTGTTTGTTTAGTATTAAATTACTGTAAACAAATCTAAAATATATTTAGTTGGGTTAGGCTAAAATAAATTGTTCTTGTTATAATAAGGTTAGGTAAGTTTTATAAGATTTTTTTCGTGCAAAATTAAAAATTTTTTACATTAACATTAATGAAAAAATATATCTTTAAACGTATAAGAGAAAATTTTAGAAAGGGCTTAATTTAAAAAGAGTTCTTGCTAATTGGGCCAGTTTTACATATTCGGCACAACATATATATATTTTATATATATAAATATATATATAATAATAATATAAAATAATAATAAATATATATATATATATATATATGTATATATATTATATATATAATATATATATATATATATATAAATATATATATATATATATATATATATAAAGTTTTTTTATATGAAACTGTCAACAAATTAATGTTATATATTTCTTATCAGTTGTCTGATGATTGTTGTATATTGCTCAGTGCCTCCCAGTCGCCTGCTAGTTTACACGGAGATGGGCGAAGATGTCAGAACTGTAGTGGGCCCCTATTCAGAGGGGGACACAATAACTATCAACTGCCGCGCCATTGGGGGGTCACCGCTCCCGAGAGTCACTTGGTGGGAGGGCGCAGTACTCCTCGACATGACCTCGGAGGAAGAAACATCAGAACACGTCACCAACACGTTACTTGTTCCATCTCTTACAAGAGGTGACCTCCACCGGCCGTTGACGTGCCAAGCTTCTAACACCAACCTTACAAAACCTCTAGAATTCACCGTTACAATAAACATGAACTGTAAGTTTTTTATTCTTATTTATTATGAAAATTTATTTATTGTCTATAAATTTACTCGTCAAGAGAGTCTTCTATGCATTTAGAAAGAGGATCAATCCTACCCTACCTTTTAGTAAACCTATTTAGCTACCGTTCTTCATGCATTTTGTTGCTCCTATCTATTACGAAGATGTCAAAGTGTTGGTGGCCATGAACGAGTTGTCTGGAATCAATAACAACACTGCGACTAGCCTAGGATTCGAACCCATGTAGTTTTGACCCTGCCTCGCGATGAGCGAAAATCACATGACACTTCATCCCACTGAACAACACAATCCTACAAGAACCAAGCACCCAGCCAAACTAGGTGTGTTACTCTTGGTCCGAGGACATAATGGTGTTGGTACCTCTAAGCTAATTTCATTCTTATCCCAGACGGACCAAGAGTAACACACCTATCTTGGCTGGGTGCTTGGTTCTTGCAGGATTGTGTAGTTCAGTGGGTTAAGGCGTCATGTGACCTCTCACCCCGAGAGAGGGCCATAACTACATGGGTTCGTAGATAAGACACATAGGCAACATTTAGGCAACTTTATTTCGAAACGTTTCGCCTACACAGTAGGCTTGTTCAGTCGAGTACAGAAAGTAGGCGGGAGTAGTAGAGATGTGAAGACGATGTAATCAGTCCATCACCCTTGAAGTCGTAGATTTGAGGTTGTCAGTCCCTCAGCCTGGAGAAGTTCTGTTCCAAAGTCTGGAACTAACTGAAGATCAAGCGACAGTGCTGAGACTTAAATACTGTCAGAAGGAGAGGTGCAGAGTAGTAGTAGTGAGAATGTAGCAATTGAGAGGTCACGTCCCTCTCAGATCAAACAATTCTCACTTGAAAAAGTTGTCCAAGGTGTTTTCTCTTCTGTACCAAGATGCCATTGTGTTGCAGTGTCTGACAGAGTGATTATCAAACGGTTTTCAATACCGACAGGTTGGTAGATAATTGGTAGATATCTACCAACCTGTCGGTATTGTATACCATTTGATACATGGGTTCGAATGCTCGGCTAGTCGCAGTGTTGTTATTGATTCAATACCACTCGTTCGTGGTAACAATAAAAACATATATACATATATAATTTATTGAATTACTTATGTATATTCTGTGGATTTAAAAGTATATATTGGTAATGGTTTACACATACCGTAACCTTATAGGGTAGCGACTGTCTGTCTGTATTGTTAGTTATTAAGAAGATGGTACAGTGTTAGACTGATGATCTGGACTGAGAGGCGCTGCGTCATTAAGCTGATATAGCACTAAATATCTTGTCTCTGTCAGAAGTCTAATCGATGTCATTACAAACTAACTTAGTATTGTCTTAATGAGACTCGTTGCTGTGACCTCCTCTTATTCCTCTCACTTTGTACTTGTTACCTCTTGTACGTTCAACAATTCTATAAAAAATCATTAACATTTACTCTCGAACTTATTTTAATTTTAGTTGGCTTTGTTCAAACATTATTGTTCTTCATAAATTTTGTAGCTGACTTTTGAAGTGTTTTTTTTTTATTCTTTTAATTTAACTTTGTGTTAGAAGGGTATGTGTCATTATGTAGTTTTCATTATTTTAATTAAGTTTTGTGTTAGAGAATAGGATAGATGTTTATCCACACTATACAAAGCATAACGTGGATTATCGTCTTTCCAGATATTACATGGGAATATTTTGCGCACTCTGCATTAATTATTGATTTATCCCACTTTTCACTGTTAGGAATAATTTTGGCTCCTTAACCAGACCAGGTTGAATCTGTTCACTGAGCAGTTTTCATTTACTTTTTCGCTGAAAGGAAGATCAGCTATGACGACACCAAGGAGCTTCAGTGATAAAAAAAAACAAATGAAGTTACGTACCATACTTGCTAAACCCCTTACATGATCTTACGGCATCAACAGTTTTTGTAGTTAGAAAATTTTGCATACACCTTAATTGACTTTGGTCGGTTGTAACCCTTCTAGAAGTGACTGACTAAGAAATTTTAACAGACTTTAAGAGCTTCATTTTTGCATTAGCTTCTTCAAGTTTACCAGATATTAAATCCGTCTCTCAAGATGTATCTCCTCGTTATTTGACATGACCATTACATCGTCTAGGTACACCATCAGGGTGGTACCTATGACGCTCTAAAAATGTTTGTCACTTATCAAAAATGTGATAGGAAAGCTGCGTAACCCGTAGGCTATTGGAAGAAGTGAAAACGACGACTTCTCATGGAGAGGGACTTGCTAAAACCTCTGTAACAAATGTGGAACTGGGAAAATTTGTCACCAATGATTCATAACATATCACAAAGGACTGGAAGCACGTAACGATCTGGAATCGTTATAGCGTTGCAGCTTCCATATATCAATCACTGGATGCCAAATACCAGGTTGAATTGTTGTGAGTGAAAACCACTCATCAAGCATCATGTTGATAAGTTCTGTTATTGCGACCTGTGAATGTAGGAATCTGTAAACAGGTATAAATAGGTTTGGTTCCATGCTGAAATGGGAAATGGTGTGACATAAATTTGTTAAACCCATCTTCTCATCTGGCTATGCTTGCTTAATAACTACAAAAAGTCTACGACTTCATTTGGGAAGATAGTTATAGTAAATCTTTTTCTTCCATTAGCGGGAAGGGTGGAGTGTCCTGCAGGGAAACACCAGACTGGAGACCTAGAGCTTGATCAACCTGATGCTACTCTGACCATTTTATTGACCGTGTACTACTACATCTAATCTCCTGACTTATACCTGAACTGACTGGCTACCTCTAGTGATCATAACAAGTGTTGAGGTCGTGGCAGGTGTTAGCTAACATCACTAATATTTATTCTTCTCATATTCAGTAAGTGTTAGCAATTACCACTGAATTTGATGCCCCTATGTCAGATGAACACTCTGCATATGAAAACCTTGCCTTAGCAGAGTTAAATACCTTATGCAGATACGCAGATATTCCAGTCATTACATTGTCATCATTGGGTTTTGTATATTTTGTGTTCTTTGTTAGACTGTGTATGATTTTACATTGTCTTGTGACTGTGTGTCACTTCTCATTATTCTTCCATACTGTATAAAAATTAATAACTCTTCATTCATTTCGTTGTTCCAATTTTTTTTCAGTGTGTTTTTGTACTTTAGTTGTCAAGATGCTCAGACTTTGAGAGTTCCTCTGCGAGGCTGTTTGTCAACTTAAATAACTGTGTCGCTCATATGATTGTGGGTCAGTTTCTATTCTATATTCATTTTGACTCACTAAATCGTAATAACAGAACTGCAGACATAGCATAGAATAAGTGGGCCATGAATCCAAGGCAAGTTAGTCACAAAACTCACAAGCCAACCACTCGGCCACTTGCTAAACACTCGGCCAGTTGCTAACCACTCGGCCAATTGCTAACCACTTGGCCAGTTGCCTCTAATAAGATTCATCCAACTAGGTATATGTCTATACACTGTAGTGAGGATAGCATGAGACCCACTGTGACCACATCCCACACCAGCGTGGGTGTGGCTTGCACTATCACAAGTACCTTCAAAACTGCCATCGTGACTCACGAAATCGTAATAATATGACCATACAAATCACATAACGCTAATTACAGTACGTTAACCACATTCGCTTATGAGTTTTAGGTCTCACCTGCCTAGTAGGCAGCACAATATATGATGCTGTAATGCAGGGTTCCCCAAAGTGGTCAATATCGACCCCTAAGTGTTGTTGGGACTATTGAAGGTCAGTAAATGCCTCGGGGGTCAAAAAAGAATCAGTAAATGTTTGGGGACCTACTTTGCATTGTGTATCTGTGACCCTTCACACTCACCTTTGTCTCTCTCATCTCTCCGGTCCGGGAAGGATATACATATGTGTAGTATTCCTGTTTACATCCTGTACAGAGCATATTCCCTCACCTCAGACTCTGTTAGAGAGCCAGTACGTTCTCAGCACCATAGCGATAGGGATGTTGCCAAAGAAGTTATCGCTGTGCATTAACTATAAATTCAGCATTGTAACACCCATAATGGCGGCTGCTGATACCAAGAAGAGCATTCACAAGAATATTTAAAATTTGGATTCATAACTTTGTTTACCAGTGAAACAATGTCTATATGCCTTTTATGTGAAATGACTTCCAGTAATGATGCCATGAAATCTGCGATGATGAAAGACCACAGTGAAAGAGTTTACCCTGACAAGGAAAATAAAGACCTTGATTATTTTAAGGCAGTAAAATAAAAATAAAATCAACCAAATTGAGACTTTTTTTCAAAGCTGCTGCCAATGTCGATAATGGCGGACTGAAAACATCATCTGCCTCACCATCGCAAAGAAGGAAAATTGCATACAGTTGGTTAGATCAAATTTCCAACAATTAAAGAGGTGACTGAAGCTGTTATGAAAAAAGATTCTCAGTCTTTCCTAAAATATCTGTCAGTAAGTGACAATACAGAGTAACGACGAACTGACAAGATGGTCGAGGATGTTGAAAATTCCCTTTGCAGTTAAGCTTCAGCTTAACTCCAACTCGATATGTCAAATTCCAGCGGCTCATATATTTTCATGGCCTATGTGAGGTATTAAAATTATTGATTAATTTTTGTTTACCAAATGTCTTAAGGCTTATGCAAAATGTCAGACAATTTTACAGTGTTAAACGAGTACTGGGAGAAGTACAATATATACCCCACTGCAATATTACTGCAGTGGCTACTGATGGTGCACCAGCAGTGGTTAGTCACTACAAAGGATTTGCCACTTTACTCAAGGAAGATATACATACTGTTCATTGTGCATTACACAGACACCATCTTGCAGCCAAGAAACTCAACACTGAACTGCATGATGCCTTGCAAGTGTGTATCAGATCAGTTAGGAAAATCAAACGCAGCCACTCAACTTCCGATTTGTTTGTAATACTTTGTGACAAGAATGATGAATCACTGAACCAATTATTTCTGCACAATTATTTCTATCACT